TCTCTGAAGTTCACAAGTTCCAGCCCTGCCTCCGGCTCTGTGTTGACGGCTCAGAGCCTGTAGCCTGCTTTGGATTCTGTGTCTCCCTCTCTGCCCCTCCCCCGCTCACACTCTGTTTCTGTTTCTCTCTTTTTTTTTTTTTTAATTTTTTTTTTCAACGTTTATTTATTTTTGGGACAGAGAGAGACAGAGCATGAACGGGGGAGGGGCAGAGAGAGAGGGAGACACAGAATCAGAAACAGGCTCCAGGCTCTGAGCCATCAGCCCAGAGCCTGACGCGGGGCTCGAACTCCCGGACCGCGAGATTGTGACCTGGCTGAAGTCGGACGCTTAACCGACTGCGCCACCCAGGCGCCCCTCTCTCTTAAAAATAAACATTAAAAAAAAATTTTTTTTAATAAATAAATAAACAACGAGGGGTGCCTGGGTGGCTCAGTGAGTTAATCAACCAACTCTTGATTTCCACTCAGGTCATAATCTCACGGTTCATGACATCGAGCCCCACATCAGGCTCTGCGCTAACAGTGTGGAGCCTGCTAGGGATTCTCTCTCTCCCTCTCTCTCTCTCTGCCCCTCTCCTGTGAGCACACACTCTGTCTCAAATTTTAAAAAACACAGGGGCGCCTGGGTGGCTCAGTCAGTTAGGCATCCGACTTCGGCTCAGGTCATGATCTCGCGGTCCATGAGTTCGAGTCCCGCGTCGGGCTCTGTGCTGACAGCTCAGAGCCTGGAGCCTGTTTCGGATTCTGTGTCTCCCTCTCTCTCTGACCCTCCCCCGTTCATGCTCTGTCTCTCCCTGTCTCAAAAATAAATAAACGTTATAAAAAAAAAACACACAATGAGACTAATGAATAAACAGCTAAGTTAAATATAAACTGAGAACAGCGACTGATACAATAACAATAATAATGGCTGACAGCACAGGTGAAGGCAAACACTTTACATGTATTTAATCCTCACATCAGCCTTATGAGACAAATACATACCCTGATATTTGGAGGCCAGTGTCATGTACTGCATCATGTTGCAATGTCAGTTTCCTGGTGAACTGGACTTTTTATTGTTATGATGTGCCCCTCTTTATCTCAATGCTTCTTGCCTTAGAGTGGGCTTTGTCTGATATTAAGATGGCACGCTTGTTCTCTTTTGGTTCACTTTTAATTTTTGTTTGTTTGTTTAAAGTAGGCTTCACACCCAGCGTGGAGCTCAATGCGAGGCTTGAACTCATGACCCTGAGATCAAGACCTAAGCTGACATCAGTAGTCAGACTCTTAACTGACTAAGGCACCTGGGTGCCTCCAGCTCTTTTTTTTTTTTTTTAAGGTTATTTATTTATTTTGAGAGAGAGAGAGAAGTGGGAGGGTAGGGACAGAGAGAGAGGAAGAGAGAGAGAGAGAGAGAGAGAGAGAGAGAGAGGAACCCAAACAGTCTCCATGCTGTCAGCACAGAGACCGATGCAGGGCTTGATCTCAAGAACTGTGAGATTGTGACCTGAGCAGAGATCAAGAGTCAGATGCTTAACTGATTGAGCCACCCAGAGCCCCTCTTTTTTTTTTATTGGCTCATTAAAATTTTTGTAAATGTTTATTTATTTTTGAGAGAGAGACAGAGCACAAGCAGGGGAGGGGCAGAGAGAGAGGGGGAGACACAGAGCCCAATGCAGGGCTCGAACCCACGAACCCTGAGATCATGACCTGAGCCTGAAGTCAGACACTTAACCAACTGAGCCACCCAGGCAATCCATTGGCTCAGTTTTTTTTTTTTTTTAATTTTTTTTTTCAACGTTTATTTATTTTTGGGACAGAGAGAGACAGAGCATGAACGGGGGAGGGGCAGAGAGAGAGGGAGACACAGAATGGGAAACAGGCTCCAGGCTCTGAGCCATCAGCCCAGAGCCCGACGCGGGGCTCGAACTCACGGACCGCGAGATCGTGACCTGGCTGAAGTCGGACGCTCAACCGACTGCGCCACCCAGGCGCCCCGCAGTTTTTAAATGCTCCATCCTTTTCTAACCTTTACCTTTCACCTTTCTGTATCCTTATGTTGTACATGTGTCTCTTATAAGCAGCACAGAATTGGGTTTTGCTTTTTGATCTAGTCTGCCTGTCTTTGTCTTTTAACTGGGGCATTTGGCCTATTTACATTCAATGTAATTATAGACCTTTTTGGACTTAAATTTGACTTCCTGTGTGTTTTCTCTCTGACCCACCTGCTCTGTGCTCCTTTTCTCTTTGCTTTATGGCCTTTCTTAGGATTGGATGCATGTTTTTTTGGTAAGACTATCTTCGTCTTACAGATGGGGAAACTGAGGCACAGAGACAGTAATTACCTTGTTCAAGGTCACAGGGATGAAAAACAATATAGGCCAGGTCTCTTCCCCTGTTGAGTTTCTATTCCACCTCCGGAGCTGGATATTGCACAATGATGCAAGTAAGTATCTAATTGCAGCTGTGATAAGCACGAAGTAGGAAATAAAACTAAAAAAGTGGCAGAGAGACGCTTCCAGTCCCT